TATCTATCTATCGCTCATTTTCTCACTCTCTTTCTAACTATCTATCTATCTCTCACTCTCTCTCTCTCTCTCTCTCTCTCTCTCTCTCTCTCTCTCTCTCTCTCTCTCTCTCTCTTTCTAACTACCTGTCTACTATCTCTCACTTTCTCACTCGCTCTCTCTCTCTCTAACTATTTATCTATCTCTCATTTTCTCACTATCTCTCTCTATCTATCTATCTCCCTCTCCCTCTCTCTCTCTCTCTCTATCTATCTATCTATCTATCTATCTCTATCTATCTATCTCTCTCTCTCTAACTACCTCTCTCTCTCTCTCTCTCTCTAACTACCTGTCTATCTCTCATTTTCTCACTCTCTCTCTCTCTCTAACTATCTATCTATCTCTCATTTTTTCACTCTATCTCTCACTTTCTCACTCTCTCTCTCTCTAACTATCTATCTATCTCCCTCCCCCTATCTCTCTCACCCTCTCTCTCTCCCTCTCTCTCCCTCTCTCTCCCTCTCTCTCTCTCTCTCTCTCTCTCTCTCTAACTATCTGTTATCTCTCACTTTCTTTCTTTCTCTCTCTCTTTCTCTCTACCTATTTAACTTTACCTAGCTATCTATTTCAGTCTATTTTTTCAGAGACTATTCGCGCATGCATCTATGTTTCTATATTTTTGCGTGGGATTAGGTTCACAAAAGGTTCCCACCATACCAGCAACGAACCAGAGCCGCTGGGACGAATGGGAAGACAATGAACCCTGAATAAAGTCCATGTTAACTTCTTGTAAATATTAATGAAGCGGATCGATCGATAGGACTTTGTGTCATGAGATCGACCACCCAATCCCACCGGCCTGTAATGGACCATTGTTGATATTAATTGGCCATTGAGGAAGATATAGGAAAAAATGGATTGCGGTTTTTTTTTTTTTTTATTCTTTGCTATTTAAAAAGGTTTATACAAATTTCTTTGTCCAGGGTTTGGTATTCTTGAAGTTTAAAACTATCCGGGTTGGAAATTTAGAAAAAACTGAATTTTTTACTTTTTTTTAAATACTCGGCTTTTTATACTTTCTGTCGTAAATTTTTTTTAACGCAACAAAATGCAAATCCAATTGCCCAAGAGTGTCCCGGGTGCTATTTAGAAAACGTTTCGAACTCATGTCCGTATCCGCCATTTGTACATATTGGAATTTGGCTCACGTCTGTCGGCATTTGGGCCGTAGAAAATCGCCCGAAACAAATGCAAAAAGATCCTCCTGTGCTCTCCCGGGTGCTTTTTTTCAATGCAATTTTGTCCGACGGAAAATCCGAAAAATCCTTGGGATTTAGTGTTTACCGTTAAATCCGTGGATTTGACGTTCGAGCTGTGCTACATAGCCTGTAAATGTTCAATCAAATTTAACCTCTAATTATATTATATATGAATAATTACCATTTGAACGTAAAACAAAAAAGAATATATTGTATTATTTAATAAATATTAATTCATTTTTGAATAATAATTAATTTGTAAAAGAAAATGTACAAAACAGATTATTAAATATAAAACATACAATATTTCCAGTAATCATGAATGGAACGTCTATTACTGAGGTTTTTAAATGATCTAAGAATCTAAGAAGCACATGAATTTACGAAGTTCTAGTCAATCCAAGTAGACTTAGTTCGTACCTGGTATTAAATTTTAACCTGACAAATTTAACAACTCAACGTTAACTTACAAACTTCAATGAATTTTGGCCTTAAAGAACAGTTCTATGGAGAGTTCCCATATTTTTATGCTGTACCATTTACATCAATTTGATTGCAAAGATAAAAAGATCAATTGGAATATTAGCAATTTTTTTATAATGTGTTTAAGCAAGAAGAACCTCACAGTACAGAAAAACGAATCAACAAGTTACGAAAATTATTCAAAACATTATATCGGGGTTTTTTTATGCAATCCTAAATTTTGTTTACAATTCTAATTAGTTTTAAGTACCCTTTAATGCAAATATGAATTATTTTAACCAAAATATTTATATGAACAATTAGGATATTTTTTTCCTTCAGCAATCTAGACAACACAAAGAAAATAATTTTTGAAATTCTAATCTTAAGAAAACTATTAATTTCAAATTATTATTAAATCGAAAAATCCGTATGAATAAATCAAAATGAAAAAGCTTGAATAAGCGGACCCAACACAGTCATGGAGGCTGATTGATGGGGTACAACGTGCTTTCAAAAATCAAGACGATCACGAGAATCAGACCAAAAGTTGAATCCAAAAAGTACGACCACTGGATGATTTCTTTACAATTCGAAATTAAAGCAAAAAGCTCGTAAAGTCGGTCCAAGAGAATAATTGTAATTCTGCCAAGAAAGGGTCGTCCAACTTTCCACTCTTGACTTACAGAAAAAAAATACATTTAATTTAAATCAAATTTAAAGTACTTCTGATTTCTGGTCTGTGTTTTTTCGTTGTTTTTAAATTTTAAAGAGAGCTAATGCTAAATTTATATGGTTATATGCTGTACTGGATCAAATTCTTCCTATCACATGTGTTATCTCACATATACAAGTTTGTACACTTCGATTTGTATATTATGGTAAATTATTGATATTTGTATATTTTTTTATTAGTTCGTTGTTTTAATTTTTGTTGGACTAATTCGTTATTATCATTAAAAAATAAAATAGTCATTAATAAAATCTAATTTTGACTTACAATGTATGGCTGTCAGATTGGAATATAGTCGATATTTGTTTTTTGATCTTTATGTAGGATAAGAAAGTAGATAAATAAAAACTTACAAACACCCAAAGACGCTTCGAGTAAAATAAACCAACAAGAAAAAATCCGATTCGATTTAAGCACCATTTAAAATCCTTAAATATGAACTTTGATCACAATAAAATTCCCCTGGGGTACTTTATTTTTATCCGATGTCAAATGTTCGCCTTAAAAAGTCATAACTCCTCTGAATTTTATCCAAATTCAACGTTACTACAACCAATAGAAAGTATAATTTCTCTTCTTTTAGGGCATATGAACATGGTTTAGATTTTATGCCATTAATATATGTTGAGAACAACCCACTCTGTGATCGACCCTATTCACCTAGTTTCTAGCTTACCTATCTAGCATAAACCATAATTATTTATGAAATATTTATATTCACGAATGCATTGGAGTGCTCATTAAAATGTTAACAAACTAAACTTCATACGTCTTATTTTGTATCTCCAGTTATAATTTACTTACAGAGAGAGGTTATCCCATAACGTGCAGTTTAAGGTTCTAAATCTCATGTAAAATTTCCTGTGGGTCGGTGGAATCGTTTGGAGTTTTAAAAAAAATCTAAGGGTATCGTTGATATTGAAATACGTAATTTTTGACCGAGCATAATTTAATTACATTAATATATATATATATATATATATATAATTATAGATACATAATTTCTGACAAAAATATATTATGTAGGCTGCAAAAGAAAATTCTCTGGACACGTGTCCAATAATTTTCGACTTTCTTCATTTTGGACTTTCTTTTATCAGAATGCGACCATGTTTACAAACTTAAAGTTCTTAAATTGGCCAATTTGACGTTAATCAAAGCTTAAAATCTTCCTACGTTGAACATTTTAAGTATTTGAGATTTTAAATTATTTTAAGGTACCAATTTCCCTCGGATTAATTTACATACCCTATCTATTTCGATTCATAATTTCAGACAAAAATACATTAAGTAGGCTGCAAAAGAAAATTCTTTCAATCTCTGGACACGTGTCCAATAATTTTCGACCTAGTATCACCAAAAAAAGTTTTATCGGTGATCCCACATTCGTAGCCTTTTTGATTTTCAAACAGGACTGGTTTTTTTACGAGCCGTTAAAAAAAACATGCATACCTAAAACTAGCTAATTAATTTTTAAAATGGAAAAATTACATTGTAATAAGCAAAATGGCTTCAAGAAATAAAATTATCAAAAATAATTAATGAGTAACATCTTTATCCTTATATTTATACAATACAATAAAAGAAATATTAATTAAAATAAAAAATGTTTAAAATCATTCTTTGTTATGAAAAAGAAAAACGGGTAAACAAATTATTTTATGCTATAAATAGTATATTTGTATAATTTTTTTCTACTAGTTTAGAACTAAATATTGGATTTTGGAATATTGGACTTTCTTTTATCAGAATGCGACCATGTTTACAAACTTAATGTTCTTAAATTGGCCAATTTGACGTTAATCAAAGCTTAAAATCTTCCTACGTTGAACATTTTAAGTATTTGAGATTCCCTCGGATTAATTTACATACCCTATCTATTTCGATACATAATTTCAGACAAAAATACATTAAGTAGGCTGCAAAAGAAAATTCTTCCAATCTCTGGACACATGTCCAATAATTTTCGACCTAGTATCACCAAAAAAAGTTTCATCGGTGATCCCACATTCGTAGCCTTTTTGATTTTCAAACAGGACTGGTTTTTTTACGAGCCTTTAAAAAAAAAACATGCATACATGAAACTAGCCAATTAATTTTTAAAGGGGAAAAATTACATTGTAATAAGCAAAATTGCTTCAAGAAATAAAATTATCAAAAATAATTAAATATTAATGAGTAACATCTTTATACTTATATTTATACAATACAATAAACGAAATATTAATTAAAATAAAAAATGTTGAAAATCATTATTTGTTATAAAAGAAAATGGGTAAACAAATTAATTTATGCTATAAACAGTATATTTATAGATTTTTTTTCTAATAGTTTATAATTAAATATTTTGGAATATTGGACTTTCTTTTATCAGAATGCGACTATCTTTACAAGCTTAAAGTTCTTAAATTGGCCAATTTGACGTTAATCAAAGCCTAAAATCTACCCACGTTGAACATTTTAAGTATTTGAGATTTTTAAAAAACGCATTAATATTAGGGTCAGGTCATTTAAATTGTATTTCAACGCGTTGTTTATAAGTTATGAGTAATGGAGAGGGTACTTACGAGAAGGAAGTCCATTTCGCGAGAGAGACTGAAGGAGACTGAAGGGGAAACCGAAGAACTAACCTTGGCTGAGTGGAGGAAGACACTCGGTGAATGTACTTCGCCCTGCCCTCCTGTTCGATTGCCTACGCTGCACCCTGTATATCGGTTCACACTTCTGCCCTTAAAATATAATCACGATTGTTGATCTCGTTTAGCTGTTTGGTTAAAAAGAAAAAAAAATCAGTATCGACCAAGATTTTGCCCGGTACGGAAGAATAAATGAACGATTGTTTTGTCTTCTAAAATTGCCCTGGGTCCGCTTAGTTTCACTGTGACGGTTTAGATCCTGGTTCGCTTTGCAAGGATCTTTCGGCTTTCACGCTTTGCAATCACGTTACCTCATAGAAAAACATTACAATACGTACTATTTTTTAAGGAAAATTATTTCAAAAATTGATCCTTTCCTGTATGACTTTTACTATTCAATGTCACAATTTAAATACACGCGGAATAGTTGTTTTGAAACAATCCATATGGAAATTTCAACTAGGCTGTTCAGTCACAATTTTATTTTTTCATTTTTCAACAAAAAGAATTTTACTGTGATTGTCAATTGACCCAATAGAGATCAATAGATACTAGATTGTTCTTTTCTTATAATGAACGTTTGGATATTTTTTTATTGATTTGTGACCACCGCGGTGATAAAAGTGCAAGTAATAACAATAAAATGACTGAAGTCTTTCCGTCTTGCCCAACCTGGCCCGTCGACGGGAAAGTTTTCCCCGAAGGGAACGCCGTTTCTCAAGGCAATGGGAAAAAGGCAATTAATTAGGATAAAATTCAAAACTTATTTACTCTCTTTGGGTCAAGGAGAGTGCCAATTATTAATTTCACGCTTCATTTGTGAAACCGTGCGATACGAGATAAGATCTGCTGTGTGTTAAGTAAACAAAAGACACTTCGGGTTTAGCTGTCAATTTTGTAAGATTTCAAATTTATATCATCCGCCTTTTTGACAAAAAAAGGTGAAAAATTGTAATTTCATTCAATTATAATTGTCATCATATCTGCTGGATATCGTTTCTTTTATTGTAAGTAAAAAAGAATTAATTAAGGTTTTTAGTTGAGATAAAATATTCAGTGTCACGAGCGGGATTCGAACCCACGATCTTCGGCTAGATAAGCCACTTTTTTTTCTATTTGATTCTCGGCGACAAATAGATTACACGACATTTGAAAAATGGCAAAAAGGAGGGAAAATTTTAAAAAAAGTGGTTGAGATTGGAAGTTAGTGTCCCAGTGGATCGAGGTCACGATAGATCAAGTGGTAGAGCTGCGGCGTGTCTAGCCGAAGATCGTGGGTTCGAATCCCGCTCCTGACACTGACTTTTTTATCTCAACTAAAAACCTTAATTAATTGAAAGATATTAATTGGTCAAGCGGACCACGAAAAATAGTGAATTTAATAAGTAAATGAAGTATACCCTCACTAAAACTCAATGTGGCCATTTCATTTGTCGCCGAGAATCAAATAGATTACACGACATTTGAAAAATGGCAAAAAGGAGGGAAAATTCAAAAGGTGGGGTTGAGATGGAATGTCCGAGTGGATCGAGGTCACGATAGCTCAAGTGGTAGAGCAGTGGCGTATCAAGCCGAAGATCGTGGGTTCGAATCCCGCTCGTGACACTGTCTTTTTTACCTCAAATAAAAACCTTAAATAATTTAAAAATATTAATTGGTCAAGCGGACCACGAAAACTAGAGAATGTAAAAAAGAATAATCGTTTTGACAGTCCCAACAAAGTAATACATAATTCTAAGTACAACAGCGCATTAAAAATGTAAACAAAACCGCGAGGACTTCATTATTAATTCAATATAATTTTTTTTTAAACTAATTTGAATATTTCCATAAAAATGGAATGAAAGAGAAAAAGTTCATATAAGTCCCCCCCCTCTTAATAGCTTGGTCTAATATTTCACCTTTGACATACACAGAGTTTGATTTTATTTTAAATATATTATACCATTTTTCATTTCATCTGTGTCCGCATTGTCGCGCAATTTTACTCTCTTTTATACGGTATTTTCATTTTTAGCGTCTGACATTTAAAACCAAACCACCTTCTCCTTTGCTGGTGTAACGTAGGGCAGTGTTCTGGCGCCCGTACTGTACCAAGTATACACAGCAGACCCATCTCATCCTCAAACTACCACCTTTGCAGACGATTCAGCGATCCTTTCAAGCAATTCTGAGTCATTTCCACTCGAAACCTTCAAGAACACCTCACACTACTGGAATAATGGTGTAAAAAAAAAAGATTAAAATTCAACCCAGAAAAATCCATCCACATAACCTTCACCCTCCGCAAAAAGATCCCTCCTCCAGTCTACTTCAATCAAATACCCCTCCCAACTGCGGACAAGGTGCGGTATATTGATACATTGACAAACGTCTGACGTGGAATCCTCACACACGACTGATACAAGAAGTTTTGAAACGTTACAGAGCACTTTCACGACTTCTTGACAGACGTTTTAAACAAAAGTCTACTTTATATCACCCTAGTGAAGCCGATATGGACTTATGGACTGGAAGTGAGGGGTTCATCCAAACCCAATAACCTACGCATCCAAAGAGCCCAATTCATAATCCTCAGAAAAATCCTTAATGCTCCCTTTTATGTGTCCAGCGAAACTACCACGTAGACTTAAATATTCCTTTTGTCCAAGATGTAATCCACTCCCGTTACCGAAAATTTTACACAAACTTCCCAACCACTATAAATCCTCAAATTCAAATCCTCTCATCCGAATTCCTTCCAACCCTCCTCGCCGACTAAAAAGACGATGGTCACGGGATCTTCTATCCAGTGACAACAATTGAATAAAGAATACTTAGGAGTATTACCTCCTAAGTATTAGTTTCTCCACTCTTGTTTACCTATTTACTTATTCATACAGTTACTCGATACCAAAATGAAGGTAGTTGTAATATACAATTAAAAAAAATTAAAGAAAAGATATTTAAAAAACACAGGAGACGATTTAAGTTGATAGTCGCAATAAAGCCATTATTTCAAAAATATGGCTCTTTGAGTTTTGTATAATAAAGTAGGAAAAAAGCTGTTATGACCGGTCCCAACAAAGCCATATTTAAGAAATTTACAACAATTTCTTCAAAAAAGTGAGAACGATACTTAATTTTTTTAATACTTCAAGTTTTGATCAATTGTAGGTAAAGAATAGAAAAAACCTGTATTAACAGAAATAATAGTGATCAGTATAAAATTTCGGCATACATGAAAGATTTCCATAAAAATCAGAAGGATTAGGAGGAAACGAATTTGTACAAGCAGACCCAGAAAATAATTACGAAATTGCCATAAATGGACGATTTTAAATAGAAATTTCTGCATTTAATTTCCAAAATTTTAACACAACGTAAAATGTTAGCAAGAAGCTTTTATTTTCTTAAGTTTTTATTTGGGATCAATCCAATGTATTATAGGTAGCGTAAAAAGAAAGTGGAAAAAGCTTGTGTTAGCGGACCCAACAAATCATTTTTAAGATACAAAAAGATGCCTTTACAAAAATTACAACGATATTAAGAACTTCCATTTTTCAAATTATTTTCTGGTACTTAATTTTTCTAATATTTACTTTTGATATTATACGTAGATTAAAGTACAGAAAAAAATGGTATTTGCAGAAATAATAGTGAAGCCAATAAATCAATATTAAAATTTCGGCATACCTAAAAGATTTCCAAAAAAATCGAATGGAAGGGAAGGAAAAGAGTTTGTACAAGCGGACCCAGAAAATTACGAAATTGCCATAAATGGATGTTTTTAAATAGAATTTTCTGCTTTTAATTTCCAAAATCTTAACACAACGCAAAATGTTAGCAAGAAATATTTATTTTCTTAAGTTTTTATTTGGGTTCAATCCAATGTATTATAGGTAACGTAAAAAGAAAGTGGAAAAAGCTTGTATTAACGGCCCCAACAATATAATTCTTCAGATCTCGACAAAAATGCATCAAGAAAGTGTAAGAACTTCCTGTATTCAATTTGTTTACGAGTACTTAATTTTTCTAATACTTTCGCTCTTGCTTGTATTACCTGAGCCGATAAATCCAAATTAAAAACTTCAGAATATTCGAAAGATTTTCATAATACTCGACTGAGATGGTAGGCTCAAACCAACATCAAAATAATAATTTTCACATGGTTATGCCGGGATTCGAAATCATAACCGCTAGCGTGTCAAATGCGAGTCGGCCACCCTAACCACTCGACTAACTCTGTCCCCATAAATGTCGAATGGAATGGAAAACAGCTTGTACAGGCGGACCCAGAGAATAATTACGACACTGCCAAGAACGAGGTCGTCCGACATTTCTCTTTTCAATTGTTTCCGGAAAGGTAATACTATTCTTACACTTAATTTTTTGATCCATTTTAACTAGAGTATACAAGGAAAGAAGCCAGCATTGAACGGACGCTAATAAATCCAGATTAAAATTTCAGAATATCTGAAAAACCTTCATAAAAATCAAATGGAATGAGAGAAAAAGAGCTTGTACAGGAGTATTCTAAAATAATATTACAAAAATGCGTGAAGAAGGACATGTCGTCAATTATTTTATTATTAGTGAATTATAAGCATCTAAATTTTAAATAAATAAGAAAGATTTTGATAAAAAATGGAATGAAAAGAAAAACTTGTACAGGCTGACCCAGTTTTGATTTATCATTTATTTTATAATATATCATTCATTTATCCTTTAACTTACAATTAATTAAATTACTGAAAAGATAAAAAAAAGGGCGTACAAAAAAAAGGGTACAGACAGACCCAGTAACAATGAATTTATCATACATTTAACCTTTAACTTACACTTAACTAAATTACTGACAAGATCAAATTTGGATCCGCACATGAAAAAAACTTGTACAAGCGGACCCAGTAACAATGAATTTATCATTCATTTAACCTTTAACTTACACTTAACTAAATTACTGAAAATATCAAATTTGGATTCGCAAAAGAAAAAAGCTTGTATAGGCGTTCCCAGTAACAATAAATTTTTCAGTCGTTTTACGTTTTAACTACACTTATCTAAATTACTGAAAAGATTAAATTTAGATCCGCACATGAAAAAAAACTTGTTCAGGCGGACCCAGTAGTAATGAATTTATCATTCATTTAACTTTAACTTACACTTAATTAAATTACTGACAAGATCAAATTTGGATCCGCACATGAAAAAAACTTGTAAAAGCGGACCCAATAACAATGAATTTATCATTCATATTACCTTTAACTGAATTAATGAAAAAATCAACGTGTATTAATTCATTCCCCTTAACTGTTCCCCCAAATCAATTACAAATAATACTAAATACTTGGGAATTGTATTAGATTCTAGGTTAAATTTTGCCTTTCACATTGATTCTTTGATTATACGACTGTTAAAACTCCTTTATAAATTCAGTGTATTAAGAAAGATCCTAAATTTAAAATAGTTGAAAATCAGCTTATGCTTCTCTTTTCCCCCCTCCTGGCTTACCTCAACAAAACGTTATCTTGATGTATATATCATGTATGTGCAGAGTTGAGCTTATAAGTAAAAAAAGTTTTTTTTTTAACGAGGGTTCGCAACAGCAGAGGTTTTTTAAAAAAAAAACCCATTTGTAAGTATGTCGAGTTCGAATGTAGGGCCGCTGGATTCGAACCCGGGACCTTTACCTTACAGTGATGAGCGCCGTAAAACCATTAGCCTTGAGGCCACCGACGCCCCCAGTTTATGCTTTAGTTCATGCTATAATTTGTTATGGTATTTTTCATTGGGTTGAACCAATAATTGTTATTTAAATCCATTAATTATAACTCAAAATTCTCTTTTCATAATTATCCTTTCTGAAACTTTTACATTCCACACCAATAAACTATATATTTTTCAGGTTCTAAAATTTAAACAATTGTTTTTAAAATTTTCTTGTTTATATGTCTTCAAAATTAACGATTTGCTGAATCAAACAATGAGCATCAAACAAGACAAAAAGCAATTACTAATATTTTTATATCCAAAGCAACTACGAATTTTTTCTTTAATTTTTCATTAAAAGTTGTTTTTAGTTTTCTTTACAATCATAAAATTAATTTTAACAAATTTAATTCTCATTATGATTTCAAAAAATTTAGTATTGTAAAAATTTTAAATATATAATTTGCACTTTCTTTGCGGTATATTTTTTAATTTTTATTCTATCTTTATTTCAATTTTGTGGCATTTTATTTAATTTATGATTTTCTCTCTTCATTATTGTTATTTTTTCTTTCTTTTATTTTGTCTTATACACCTTCTAAGCTGGTTTGATTTAATTTTAGCAATTTTTTTCATTGACATAACTCCTGCCACCTGTTACAAGAACTGCTTTTAGATTGGTAAAATGATTTAATTTTTAATTATTATTTGATCATTATTTTTTTCTTTTAGGAGTTATCTTACTGTATTATTGTACTTTTTCGAAAATAAAATTGTTATTATTATTATGTTTATCAAAGTTGGATCCTCACAGAAAAAAGCTTGTGCAGGCGGACCCAGGAAATAATAATGAGGACTGAATGAAACTGCCGGTTCTTTTATTACTTCCTCTTAGCCTTAGACGTACTTTTTTAAATCAAATAATTAGTTTTTCAAAAAATTTAACTAATTTCGTTTTAAATCAGTTATGCATTGCTTTTGGTGACGTCTGGGACCGTCTATGCTCGCTGTTTTATTTTTTCAAAATTTATTTAAGCTTATAAGAGCATTAAAGCAGAAAATATAAAAGGATAACTCAATAAAGCCATTATTGTCGTCGTATTGTCTTCTGGAAAAATTGGATCGATTATAGAAGAAAAAAATTACTAGTATTAGCATAACAACCATGAAGGCTGATGATATCTAGATACAACAGTACAGAAAAGTTCATTTCTGAGCCTTGCCCTTTATCCTTTATTTATAATTAATTCTGTTTATCTTTGAACTAGGTGTCTTTATTTTTCCAACCTTGGTGAATACAACAAAACCTTTTCCTTGTACACGATTGCGTATATTTTATTTTGTATTTTAAGTCCCACACATATAAATTTTCTCATTTTCATACATGCATATTCATAGTACGAAACGTTTTTAACAAACGGGGAGGAAAAAAAATGATAGTGTATTTCAAGTGGCGATTTGACGGCGGTTGTTTTCAAACGTCCCTGTTCGGATGAAAAAGGATCGCCCTAGGTTTTTTGAGGAGGTCCTTTCACATTTTAGATCGATGACTAGGATACGCTATGCCTCAAAGCCAGGTGCTCCAGTATGGCCTTTGCCTCCTCCCTCATTCAGATTCGAAATGTATTATCATTCCAGTGATCGTTCCGGGTTCAAAAACGCCCACATTTGGACCTTGACTCTTGCTGTGCATTGTGCGACTATGGAATTGGTTTTTGGTTTATTTAAATGAATCAGCAAAAAGACACAATTCAACTTATTAACACTTCGCAGAAGTGAAAGTGCATTACCTCAAGAACAGTATATCTTGAAATTCGCTGGACGATCTGGTCCGTTTATTCTCGCTCTGTGCCTGGACATAGACGTTTTTCTGCCTCTCTGAATTGTGGCTCAAGAGTAAAGTAGGCGGAGAGTTGACTGTCATGGAAATGCAAGCAACCTAAAATGTTTTATAGTTTTATTTTTTGTCTGGGAAGTAAAACTAGGACTCTCAGGAATCAACATGTGGGAAGGACTCGTTGGACGCTAAATAAGGAAGCATGTCTTAGATTCTTATCAATCTTTCTTAGTACAATAGTGATATTTGAGAATGACAGATGTTTATGTATATTGAAGACTAAGTCATCTTTCCAGTCTGAAAAGCTTCATAGGTAAGCTAGAATTCTACCTGGTGAGAAGGGGAATACAGTAACTTAATTGTTTCGAGTGAAGCCACAGAAATATAAGAAATCTAAAACAATCCCTTTCACGTCTTTTTTATTGCCTAACTATAACCAATTTAATCTTTGTTCTTGACATTTGTTTTTACAGAAAAGAACTGTTGTGGGGTCAGCCCCTCCCTTGATCAAGGGGAACGTTCACGTCTTTCTTCCCTTCCCCTTGCTAAATTTCTGAGTTCCGGAAGGCGTTCGCTCGATTTTGACGGACCTTGACATTCACAGGGGGAAACTCCAGCAGATCCTAATATCTGAGGAAGTCAGTACGCCCTGTAGTAGTATAATTCCAGGCAACTTTCCTAAATAACCCTGGTATCGTTTCCACCCAAGCTGAAACAGGTTTGGACGATTCGTGTTTTTCTCCAGGTCCAAATTAAAGGTCGTTTGTAAATAGTTTGTACCCCTGCACTTGCAAATCATTAACAACACAAGTCGAAAAGGATTTCACGGCCTCGGGAGAAAAAAAAGCGATAAACAGCAACAGTGGGAGTGTTGGGAAATTAACCGAGTGAGTCAACCTACATGTTTACTAATGAGATCGTGTACCGTTTAGAACATTTAACCGCACTTTGCTATTTTAAACGGTCTTTCCTTGCCTTCTTTTTAAAATTGCCGCTTTACAAATTTCTTCCTGGCAAAAATACATTGAGCGCCTCTGTCTATCGCCCTTTCCTTTTACAAATAAATTTGCTCCCTTGGGGACTTAAACTGCGTTCAAATCCCAAATACAAAACTTCTTTATTGGCCCTCTATTTTTGTATTCTGTTTTTAAAAATTTACATTGACAATTTATTTGAAAAGACTAACATAAGTCCAGATGTGCTTTGAGTCGTCGAGAAACACAAGCCCGCTATTGAGAAAATTTGGTGAAATTACTCTCTGCAAAATAAAGAAAGATGGAGACAGACTGTTTTTCAAAAATATTACAAAGATTTAGAAAAAAAAATTTTAAGTAATAGTCTGAAGAGGACAGGTCCGGAAAAACTGGTAGTATAGAGGATTAAACTCCGTTTTCTTTTCAATAAAGGAAGAGAGAAACAGAGGTACATACATAGATAGCTAGATAGATAAAGAGAGAGATGGAGGGAGGAAATAAGCTGTATTAAATTTATTATCAAACATTTGAAAACGAATAGACCTAGAAGTGTTAGTTGCAAAGGGCAAGGACCTATGTTTTCCTCCTAAAAGAAACAAAAAGAGAGAGAGGGAAAAAGAGACAGACAGACGGGGTGATGGAGAAGAAAGTGAGTGAGAGCAAGAGAGATAGGCAGGCAGGCAGACAGACAGACCGAAAAACAGAGAGATAGACAGACTGAGAGGAAGAAAGAGAAAAACAGATTGTTGCAGAAGAAAGTGAGTGAGTGAGTGAGAGAGAGAGAAAGAGAGAGGCAGACAGGCAGACGGAGTGATGGAGAAGAAAGTGAGTGAGTGAGTGATAGAGAGAAAAAGAGAGAGAGAGATAGAAAGAGAGAGACAGACGGAGTGATGGAGAAGAAGTGAGTAAGTGGGTGAGAGAGAGAGAGAGAGACAGACAGACGGAGTGATGGAGAAGAAAATGAGTGAGTGAGTGATAGAGAGAAAAAGAGAGAGAGAGATAGAAAGAGAGAGACAGACGGAGTGATGAAGAAGAAGTGAGTAAGTGGGTGAGAGAGAGAGAGAGACAGACAGACGGAGTGATGGAGAAGAAAGTAAGTGAGAGAGAAAAAGAGAGAGAGATAGAAAGAGACAGACAGACGGAGTGATGGAGAAGAGACAGACGGAGTGATGAAGAAGAAGTGAGTAAGTGGGTGAGAGAGAGAGAGAGACAGACAGACGGAGTGATGGAGAAGAAAGTAAGTGAGAGAGAAAAAGAGAGAGAGATAGAAAGAGACAGACAGACGGAGTGATGGAGAAGAAAGTAAGTGAGAGAGAAAAAGAGAGAGATAGAAAGAGAGAGACAGACGGATAGTCAGGCAGAGACAGACAAACAGAGAGAGAGAGGTAAAGATAGAATTAGTTATGTATAAAATGTTTTTATTTCATTTTCCTTATCTTGTAAACTTAATGCAAAATAAGTAATTTAATTTTCTATAATTTTTTAAAGTCAACTTATTTTATCATATGATTAAGAAAAACATATAATCATAAGGGAAACATGTTTAAATAAACGGGAAAAAATACTATTTTAAAAAACATAAGCATGCCTTGTGTTTCTAGGTGTGAAATTATGATTTAAAAACAGATAAGAAACTAATGTCAAACACTTCAAGCAACTGACGACCGGCCAAGGCCTTGCTTTTACTCGTTTATCCCGGTACTGAATAGAAAAGGCAATCCTGATGCAAAAGAGCGAATTAAATTCCTTTTCGCGAATCGTGCAAACCGCTGGATTTAAAACGGATCGGAATGCGTACGGTTTTGTTTCAAAGCGAGGGAAGCATCAATGAGCATGAATAATGATAGTTGGCGTCTCCTCCACGGCCGGTTCCGTCTCTCTTTTCCTATTTGAATACAGATGATGTATGTAAACCAGACAACAAAGAGAACTTTTGGACCAGATGTTTTTAATGTGCATATACAAGGATTTCCGTGATTATTGTGGTCCATTATACACATTTTTAGTCAATGTAACTTCATAAATTAGAAGCAAAATCAAATTAAACACACAATGCGAAGATTAATGGATAATTAGAAGGAATTAGACGAGGTGTTTGGCTACTCGTGTTACAAACTTTGCCAGTAGATTTTACATTCAAAATGGAACCAAAAAGTCCTAATTAACTATGGTCCGAATCTCAACAGTTTCGGAATTATTCTCCTTTTTCTGATTTTTTAACATTTCACGATCTTACTTCAAATAAACAATAATAACTCCAAAACTGATAAATTTCCAATAAGATGTGATCAATATTAAACTTGTAAACGTTGGTGAAATTCGCGTTTTAGTAGCCAGAACTTTGAAAAAAAAGTTTTTTTTCAAAATTGAAAAACTTCCTATGGTAATTCTACTTATTATGTCCAAACCTAGAGACCAGCAAAAGTAAACAATTGCACTATTTCGAACCCAAATTAAAAAACATTTAATAAATTCATTCAAAATTTCCTTACGTTTTTTAATTTTTTTTTAAATTTTTCCATCTTACCAAATCCGTCAACCACGGTTTTTACCTTTCCTTCATCAATTTCTTCATCTTTGAAAAAAGTAAGTAAAAAAATCAATTGCACCACTAAAAAGGAGTACGCTTTCTGAAATTTTCTGGTCTCTAGGTTTGGAAATAGTAGTTTGCAATCACTATAGTAAGTTTTTAAACTTTGAAAAAAATATTTTTTTAAGTTTTGTCTGCTAAAACGCTTATTTCACCAACGGTTTATTGCTCTTGTTTACTTGGTTTTTTATGTATGCTTGTGGGTGTGTGTGCAGCTTTCTTTGCTTATTTTTTGTTTATGATCTGTATAGGTATGTTTGGTTATTTTTTGTTTGTTTGTGTATGTGTATAGGTTTGTTTGTTCGTTTTGTATACATGTTTGTGGATATGTTTGCTTATTTTTGTTTGTTTGTACATGTGTGCAAGTTTGTTTGCTTTTTTTAGTTTATGTATGTGTGTAGATAGATATGCTTGCTTATTTTTTGTTTATGATCTGTATAGGTATGTTTGGTTATTTTTTGTTTGTGTATGTGTATAGGTTTGTTTGTTCGTTTTGTATACATGTTTGTGGATATGTTTACTTATTTTTTGTTTGTTTGTATATGTGTGCAAGTTTGTTTGCTTTTTTTAGTTTATGTATGTGTGTAGATAGATATGCTTGCTTATTTTTTGTTTGTGCATATGTATAGGTTTGTTTACTTGGTTTTTATGTATGTTTGCTCATTTTTTGTTTGTGTATGTGTGCAAGTTTGTTTCCTTGGTTTTTTTAATGTTATGGACGTTTGTAGGTACGTATGCTTGTTTGTTTTTTGTTTGTGAATGTGTATAGGTTTGTTTACTTGGTTTTTATGTATGTTTGTGGGTATGTTTGCTTATTTTTTGTTTGTATTATGTGTGCAAGTTTGTTTCCTTGTGTTTTTATCTTCTGAATGTGTGTAGGTAGGTATTCTTGTTTGTTTTTTTATATTTGTAGGTTTGTTTACTTGAGTTTTATTTATGTTTTGTGGGTATGTTTGCTCATTTTTTGTTTGTGTATGTGTGCAAGTTTGTTTCCTTGTGGTTTTAGGTTGTGAATGTGTGCAGGTAGGTATGCTCGTTTTTTTGTGTATATTTGTAGGTTTGTTTACTTGGTTTTTTTATGTATGTTTGTGCGTATGTTTGCTTATTTTCTGTTTGTATATGTGTGCAAGTTTGTTTCCTTGTTTTTTTAGGTTCTGAATGTTATGTACGTGTGTAGGTACGTATGCTTGTTTGTTTTTTGTTTGTATATATTTGTAGGTTTGTTTACTTGGATTTTATTTATGTTCTGTGGGTATGTTTGCTCATTTTTTGTTTGTGTATGTGTGCAAGTTTGTTTCCTTGGTTTTTTAATGTTATGTACGTATGCTTCTTTGTTTTTTGTTTTTGAATGTGTATAGGTTTGTTTACTTGGTTCTTTAGGTATGTTTGCTTATTTTTTGTTTGTGTATGTATGCAAATTTGTTTGCTTGTGTTTTGTTTTAGGTTATGTCTATGTGTAGGTAGGTATGCTTGTTTGTTTTTTGTTTGTGGCTGTGTTTAGGTTTGTTTACTTGGTTTTTATGTATTTTTTTGCGCAT